CTTGATCGCCTTCGATATTTTTAAGGTTTCTCTCATTTCTTAATTAAAGTATGTTATTTATAGGGCTCGATTAACACATTCTCCGACTGTTGAGACTCCTCTTGAGCTTAATGTGGTATCCCCTTGGCTCATCCTACTTTGCATCCAATTCTTGCAGGTAATCTGGTCTATCTTTCGATTACACAGCCTAATATTGCATATGCTGTTCAAGTTGTGAATCAGTTTGTCTCTTCTCTGACTACAGTGCGCTAGGCTGCAAGTCTGCACATTTTGGCAATATTTGAGGCACTTTACATCAAAGTTTGTTGTTTTTTTCCACCTCTTCCTTAGATCTTAGTGCTTTCTCTGATGCAGATTGGACACGTGATGCAAAAGATCGAAGTCCACCACAGGTTTCTATGATTTTCTATAAGAGCAAGAACTAAGAAGCAGACCGTTGACGCACATTCCATTGTTGAGGCCAAATATCGTGTTATGGTTAATGTTGCATCAAATATAATTTAGTTGATATGGTTGCTTGCCAATCTAGGCGTTTCATTTTTTGTTCCTACTCCAATTTATTATGACAACAAGAGTGTCATTCAACCTGCACATGACTATGTTTTCCATGAGCAAACCAACCATATTGGGATTAACTCTCATTTTGTACGGCACCATCTTCAACTTGGGACTCTTTCCTTACCTTTTGCTTCTTCAGCTATGCAATGAGCTGACTTATTTATGAAGTCTCACACTGCACAGCATTTGTGTCATTCTTGACAACCTTTCGATACTTCCTACGTCACTTCATGAATTTGAGGGAGGGTGTTAAGATCGTATTTATATATGTTTGCTATTAGGGGTAGACTAGTCTCTTTCTTAATTGTAGTGTTTACATAAATGGTCTCTTGTTCCCTATTTCATATTATTGCATACAGTGAGCAGCAATGGATTTCTTTTGTCATCCTCTTCTTTAGTTTTGTCTATTTAGCAATTCTAATGAACCAAAATTTGATGTAATATTTCTTCTCATTAAAATGACACTTTTTTTTATGTCATTTTAGCAAAATTTGTCAAAAGTAGAGTTTCAAAGACTAGACATTTCATGTATACAAGCACGATGATATGTGATGAGCAGCATAGTAGTGATATGAACAACCATTAAGAAGGCTCTTGAAAACCTTGTCCAGCACATAATTACCAGAATTCACTAAATCCCTAACGACCTACGATCTGAATACATCGATCCCAAACAAGGTGAGTTCGCAATCCAAATCACGAAAATGTACAATCCCAAATTGTACACGTAGCACAAATATAAAATACATATTAATTAACTACGTGTATATAGATTTATAATTATATATTATTTTAGATAATAAAAATCGAGCACAAATATAAGATGAATGGTAACTGATTTAGTGTTTATGAATATTGTATGATATATAATATTGTATAGTGGTAAAAATGATCCAAATAAGAGTTCCAAAACTAATTGTAACCCAAAATATTATACTAGTTAAACTTATCATCATCGTACCGCATACTTAAGAAAGTGTCATACCACGTATCTATACTCATATCATGTACCAAAAGTGACCCACAATCCTGGTAACATTGGTCCAACACACCATACATTGTTGAAATTTGCAGCTACGGCAAAATTTAGTTTATTTAACAGGACATTAACACAAAAAAAATAAGGCACCATTACTCAGCACTGATAAAAATAACTAGCTCACTTCCTAAATCAAACAATGGCTGCTTTTTCAATTAAAAAAAAAAAGTGCAACTCATCACTCTGGAAGCATACTTCCTTCAGTCAGATCTTGTATCCCAGTTCATTAGTCCTCACTGGTACTAATCAAATGCTACATAAATGAATTACAAGCTTAGATAAATAATCACCTATATTCATCAATACCAGAAAAATAGATAAAACTCATAATTCTGTTACATCAAAAGTGTAATGTATGTTTCTTATGCGGGCTGAGAATCACAACTACACTTCCATTTCGTTAGTTTTGATCCATGAACCAATAAATTCAAGAATGGCAAAATGCCAAAGGGATCATTTAGCTCATGGTTCAAGGTATTGGCCGAGACCGAAATGACTTGGTCGAGTCGTATCCGTCTCGGCCATGGCTGATATGATAACAATATCAACAACGAAAAAATCTTGAATCGAACCTAAATCGGTTCCGTCTCGGCCAAAATCGGTACAACTCGGGCGAGGCACCGATTCGTCACTCATTTGAATTGATTTGTCACCGATTTTAACTGAATCATTCCAACAAAATCGACTACGTGCAAACAAGCTTTCAAAGCACATATCACAAAGAAAAAAATGCCAAAAAACAAGCATGGGAGATGTGATAGAAAATTAACCCTAAATCAGCCCCTTTTCTCCATGATATAAACAGATGAAGAATTAGAACTTAGACACATACCCGTACGACATCCAGACCAAAACCCCTTGTAGTTGTTGTTCTTTCACTTTCTCTTCCTCTTCATCTTTATCGCAGAAGCCCTAGGAGACGGAGTAGAGTAGCAGTAGCGGCAAGCACTACTACCGAACACTGTAACAACCCTCTAGAGACTAGATCCAGACTCTTTCCCCCTCTCTCTCGCGGTCGCTGGCGTTTCTCGTCGTCGACTAGTGCTAGAGTCTCAGAGACTCCGCTCCACGCCTTTCTTTCTTTTTTTTTTGTTTGGTTTTGTTTTGACATCTTCTTTCCCAAAGTAATCCCCCCTCTCTCTCTCTCTCTCTCTCTAAATAGTCAACGTGTACAAATTAAGACCACCTATTTCTAAATATCTACTAATCTAAGTATTATAACTTAACTTATTAAATTGACAATTTTTTAAATAATATATATTTTTAGAACTATTAATCAAACTTATCTAATCTAACCGAGACCATGTATTTCTAAATATCTCTAATGTAATTATTAAAACTTAACTTATTAAATTGACAATTTTTTTAAATAATATATATTTTTAAAAAATATTAATTAAACTATGTATACACACTTTTATTTTTCTATAATTCTTAAAAATTATTAAGTTTTATTTTTCTATAATTCTTAAAAATTATAAATTAAGTTTTATTAACATTAGTATGACTTACCCAAAATAAAACATTACTATGATATTCATATTCACTAGTTTGGGATATAAATATTTAATAATCTAATTATTAAATGGACAAATATTCCAGTAGTGCCCTTATTATTTCATTTGACAATGATTAATGTTTTTAATAATGCATTTTAGAGATATGATGCATAGATGATGATGTTTACATTTATTACAATTTTTTCACAATTTTTTGAGCTTTTTATTTAGCATTTTGAGTATATCAGCCTATACCGCGCCGCGACACCGCGACCGATGTGTCTCAGTGGCCTCCGAGTCAAGGGCCGATACCGCGACCTTGAACCATGCAAGAGAGAGAAGTCTAAGAATACAAGTGTCTTACTTATACATATACATGTGTGTGTATATGTGTCTTGCAATTATATATCTTGTAACTAAAGAAAGAGAAGTGAGGAGCTTGCATAGGAAAAGAGGTGGATGTGTAGGGAATGAGAGAAAAGTAAGAGAAAAAGAGGAGAAGGAGGAGAAGAAAAATGGAGGAAAATTCAAGGAAGTAATATAGGGCTTAGAATTACTCTCAAACAAGGTATGATTCTTGGTTTTAAGTGAGTATTCTTTACTTTATGGGAAAGAATTAGGTAATAACAACCAAGAAAGGGGAAGTAAACAAGAAATCATATTCTAGTTAGTTTATTTGTAAGGCTATGAATATTTCACATGATATGAACCATAGAGTTGTTAATAATGGAGTAAACACTTTTCAGGATTCTGAAAATCACTTATATGAGTTATAATTGGTTGATGATTCTTAAACTTTGAGGGTTTGAAATAGATTAGTAAAGGGTGCTTTTGGCTTTGGTTTCATGCAAAAAGGATGAAAGCTCAAATTTTGGTGAATTTCTGAAGTTGACCCTGACCTGCTGAAACCTAAAAACTGCAGCTTATGCTCAATTTTACAAGTTGTTTTGAACATGTATTTGATTTCCAAAAGTAGTAATTTTTGGTGAACATGAAGTTCTTTGAGTGTAGTTTTATTTGCCATTGGCCGTGTGAAGTTTCAGCATGTGTAAGTTAGGTTATGAAGCTTTTAAATTGCAAAGGTCTAATCGGGCAGATTATAAAATGTATGCACAAAGGGGAAATTTAAATGGGATTAAAACTAATACATAGGGGGTGTTAACCAAAAGGTTTAAAGGACTGAAATTAATGTTTTTTCTCTTACTTAGAGCGAGAAGGAAGAAGAATAACAATAAGTACTGGAAGAAAATCATTAGGGATCAATAGTAGACCTATTAAGTACTTACAAATAAGTGTTGCTACTGATGTGTTGTGTGATGAAAGTTATGAAATATGTGTAGGACTTGTAAAAGGGAGTCAAGAGTTATAAAGCTTGGTTAAGAACTGAGGTGAGTAATCTTATACCTTAGAATGAAATTTTGATGCCTAACTCTTTTTCTAAGGCTTATCTGAGAAATCTTGTATTGATTACACTATTGTGATGTCATGGATTATCAATTGACTTGAAAATTTCTATGTATTACGTGTCAATGCCATAATAGATCCCAGCCCGGGGGACTCAAATCTGATAAAAGACTGAGCCAACGACTCAAATCAGGTATGGATCCGATCCGGTGAAATCAAATCCGAAGAGCTCATGATAAGAATTGCTTGATGACATGTTATATGACTTATTATAACTTTGGCATTATATTCATTTTTTTTTTTTGTTTACTAGTTTTTTTTTTTTTTTGGAGGGGGGAAAGGAAAAGAGATTTGAACCCTTGACCTCAAGAAGGCAAAGCCTTCACAAGCCAAAGAGTATCATTGGACCAAACGCCCATTGGTGACTTTGGCATTATATTCATAAACTTATCATGAAAATGTTATGATGCCATTTGATATGAGTACTGATACCAACTATTCTACTGTTTAAAGTTAGGGAGTATGGATACCATCTCAGTTATACGCATAAGCTGTTCTTCGTATGATTTATTCATCTGCTCTTTCAACTCGGATATCTCCTGTTTAGAGTACCCTTTCAACTTAACTTCTTCTGTTTGATCATGAAGTTTCATAGCTCCTTCCTGTAAAATCAACACAACTACTATCAAGTTTTTACCTCGGTGACAAGTATCACCATGATAATTCAAAAGGAGAGCACATCGAAAATAGAAACAATGAGAAATATTCTCACCTTCAACTCAGCAAAAAGCTCATCCGTATATGGTTGTCCACCATTGTGTGCTATGACCACATTTAGAAGTGAAAGCAGTTGCTGAATTTGTGCTGCTCTCTTGCTTTCGTCCTTTGTTTTGTTATCAAATAGCACTCGCCGATTTCCACAAAGTAGGAGGATTTTCTAAACCAATATCATAGACAATCAATTTAATTCTAGTTTTTCCGCTAAGAAAATTCTGGTTAAAAGACATTGACTATAAGCACTACGAACAGGACAATCAAACTAATCAAAACACTATTGACCAAGAAAGCCTAATCAAGAAAGCTAAAGTTTACATGGGATTAAAATGAGAAATAAGCAGAACATCTGATACAAATTAACCATAGAAATTAGAAAATAAATCAGAAGACTCAATGCCACTGATATGTGCTATGCATACTTCTTGAGGAGATTTCTCCCTGATGTCATGTTCAACAAACTTGGGCACAATATTGAAAATCATATGTTCAAATCAAGCACAAAATGTTCACATTCATCAATGTGGAGGAAAAGTTCAACAACACTCTCCCAGCGCCGGTGCTACAGAAAAAGGAAGGGGTTGGGGGCTAATGTCTTAGGTTTTGTGAGGTTTAGGACCGCTAGATTAGGAATTTCAAGAGTAATATCCTAGCTCAATTAGGGTTTTCAAAGACTATATTATTTGGAAGTGTGAATACATGTCTCAAGAGGATCCAAGAATTCATAGCTGCATCCAAAGTCAGAGAAAAGGATCTACTAAACCAAGACGAAAAGATCTCCATAGCCAAGAGAGTTCAAAACTCAAAGGTCCAGTGTCTAGTGTCTAGTGTCTATGTTCATATAGAGTCAAAACTATGGCTAGGCTCAAGACCCAGGATGGCTGCTCTGTTTTGGCCAGATGCGAGAATTCGCAGGAATTGGAACAGACACAATCAGACAACTAACTGGACCAGACAGTTTAAAAATCAAGCCATTTGTGTATGCAATGTCCTTAATCAAACCAATCCTTGGCAATTTTGGAGTCATATAATTCCTGCTTCTGATAAAGACAAGCTTAAATGACTGGGAAGTTGTAAAGGGTAAAAAGACTAGAATGTCTTTGGTTTGAGAAACCTTCAAAAACAGACCGTCCGTAACACTTAGAACATGAATCAAATTGTAAAAAATATTTAATAATCCTATTCACCAACATCCCCCCACCCCTTCCTTTTTTCCCTCTAGGACTAGTACTTTGTCAAGCTTTTGGGGTGGAAGTTTTGTTAGAATATCTGGCTTGAGAGCTTGTAGAAGTATAAGAAAGAAGCATGTGTTTTTCTAAAACTCCTCCATTTCCATTGTTTCTTCTCCCAAGAGGTGAAACAAAGGAGGTGGGATGATAATTGCTCAACACCCAAAAAGAAACCAATAAAATTCTCAATCATAGTATGATACGCTCAAAATATGTGTACGAGTCTTTCTCGAATGAGGAGATGGTACGAGCACTATAAAAGGAAAGACACTCCCTTACTTCAATTTTCTATCTAATCACTCCTAAACAAATGTAGTCTAACAATGAAAATTCAGATCGTACCGAATTCTTTTTACTTCTTTCCTCATTTTTGCTTCCCTCCACATCTCTATTCTACTAGTTACTAGTAGCCCAAATTACTTCAGGAAAACAACTATATGCATTTTATTGTAACAAAACTGAACTAGTTACATTGTATGAAGTATGAACAAACTAGCTTACTGAACTTAGCAATGTTAATATTATGCACAGGTAAGGTAAATAAGTACTTTCTTCTGAACTCTCGGCTTTTTTCCAGCAGCAAAGCCCCAAATAGAAATAGCAGAAACAATATTTATATCCTTTCCTACGCTTATCTCCACATTTTGACAGCTTTTGATTTTCTAAACTCCAAATCCTAGTTCCAACAACCACGCGATCAAATGAGAGTAGTTACTTAAGTAGTATATTTTGACAGGTCAAAAATTACTCCAGAAGCAAACTCTACTAGGATAGCTAGACTCTTCTCAACGGGGAACTTCTATAAGCCAATTGATTTTTTTGCAACTCGTAGGATAGTTCAAACAGTCTGATCAACATTGCATGTGGTCTTCATCTCACACCATCTTTGCCATATCCTCAAAATAAGAGTTGATGCTGACTAAGCTGCTACCCCAATGTAGTTCATGCGCAATAAAGTGGACCAAATGGACTATTTTGTTTGTAGTTTGATTTTTCAATTTATTTATTTTCTTTTCTGGTTTTTTTTTTTTTAGGGGTAAGGAGTGGAAAGGTTTTCAAGCTCCATCCCGCTCGATTGACGCAACATTTGGAATTGACATTCTATCAGGCAAATTGATTCAAAGCGAGGATCAAAATTTTGATTCAAAACAATTGAAACGACCAAAACGTTTTCATTTCTAAGGAGACCAAAATGAATCAGTAATTGAATCAATGTTTCAATGCTTCAAGGTTTATCAAAATGTTTTGAGATTTTTTCACTAATATTTTGTGATGTTTCAAATTGTTTCAAAGTGTTTTGATATATTTCGACCGGTGTTTCAGAATATTTTGAAAATAAATTCTCAAATTTTTTATCCATTTTCATTTTATTTCAGATTCGAAATGTTTTTCGTTTCTTAGGTGAGCGAAACAATGCACAAAACAAAATTTTAATCATCGATTCTAACTGTTGTCAAATAAGGAAAGATATACTTAATGCACTTAGATATGTATTATTAGGCATAGTTGTTAGTATCGTACGATACGCGATACGTATCGTACGATACGGAGGTAAAACGATACGGATCATAGTTATGTATCGTTTTTGCACCGTATCGTCCAATACACGATACGTTTTTACGATACGATACGTATCGGTACGATACGACCGATACGCGCAAAACCTTTTGTTTTTTTTTTCCTGAAACGACGTCGTTTTGTCTAAATAAGATATTATTTTTTTTTTTATATAAAAATTTCTGAATCTTGATTAAGTTTATGGATTGAGTTCCAAATGTTAGAAATTTAGATTAAAAGTCTCTTTGGGGTTTGAAGTTTGAATTAGTGAACTATGGTTGTAAACTTTGCATTATAATATTAGTGAACTATGTTGATGACTTGAATAGGTGGTGAAGTATGAATGAAATGCTATATTTTTATGAGTGTATGATTTTTTTTCAAAGTTATATATATTTTTTTATTATTTATTTAAAATTGTACCGTATCTTACGATACACGATACAATACACTATTTTTAAAAAGCGATACGCCTTCTGATACACGATTTGATAACTATGCTATTAGGTATAACAAACTAAGTTTTCTGAGCAAAATAAAGGACATAACTATTTTACTCATCAATCAATGCGTACGCATGGGCCAAAACTTTGTTTTAAGTACGAAAAGTCGAAAAATATAATGGTCATCAAGTAAATGCCCAAAGAAGAAGGTGCACGTACGTTGATGCAAAAAATAAGTGTTTTTTCCCTTAAGGTACTCGGTGATAAAGAGATGTTCATATTGAAATAGGCAAGTTTGAAGAGGTAGAATGAACCAACATCATGTTTAGAGTCTAGAATCACGACAATTATAAAACTTCATGTGTTTCTACGTCGTTTTTTTATCTCGTAATTGTGGAAAAGAATCTTGTCAATTGTTAACATTCTTTGGGTTACTCCAAGAAGTTGTGACTCAGTATTTTTTGGAGAACTATGACTCGATAGCTATTAAGCACGGATACCAATATGGATATGGCAATTTGTCAAAATCCAAACAAATAGGATACGTATACACCAGGATATGTTTATAACAAAATATATTTCATATTTTTACTATTATTTACTGACTTAACAATTATGTATTTTGGTAATCCTTTAACATGAGAAGGAAAATTAACAATTTTTTTCTAGTTTTAAAAAGGTATATGTCATATCATTATGGTATATTCATAACTGAAGAGACTAATTAAAGGATTCAAAAGTGATATTTACTTAGTTGGTTTGTTAGATGTATTTATAGCTAAGATTATAATGTAATAAATTCATATTATGCTCTTTTGACATGTCATAGTAGATAATACTTAAAAAAATACTCGTGTGTCATCAAAATAGTATGATTTTTTGTTGATGTATACTATAGTATGTGAATTCAAAAGGAGATGTTAAAGATTAAATTTAAAAATTACACACAAAAGTATTCGTGAAGTATCCAAATATTTTATAATTATCGAATACGTAGGAGTATTTGATACATATTCTCAAATAACTGACGAATATCATATCTGATACGGTATCGATAAAGGTAAATCGACCTCAACGAAGTTGTGTTTCATAGCTCAATAGTGATTATTGTTTTTGTTTTGACTGGGAGACTCTTTGGGAAGATCTTTGGGATAAAATTCTTTTGTTGGCTTCCCATCGAGCTTCGACAGCTAAGGACTTTGAAAGAATGCCACTTTTTTTATTAAAGATCAATTGCTCAAGTTTGTGAAGAGTGTTGACACTTGGCCATTCCTTATTTATCTTTTTCTGTTTGTATGTTTCATTTAGTTTAGTTATATTTTCTTTCTTTTATCTTTTGTACTAGTTAGAGGACTTCGTGTCTTCTCATCTACCCTTTCCTTATTTTTATTTATAACACAATTCTGTTTACTATAGAGAAAGAAAAGAGTATCAAAGCATATAACCTTCTTGAAGGTAAAATAGCTTGGTGAACTTTGTGCATTCCAATAACAAGAAGCCAAAGATCTCAAATTAGGCGTCACATTTCAGCGTAGAACCTTAAATAAAGGGAATGAGAAACAATAAAAAGTAAAACAAAATATAGTCCAAAACCGAAATTCAAGCAAACACAATCCAATAAATGATTGTAAGAAGCTTAAAAGGACGAGTAGCCCTGAACGTGATCTAACCACTTTATAAAACTTTTAAACTTTCGGAGGGACTTCAGAACATCAGCACTGAGACCACAAAAAGCATTGAAAATTGAATAAAATAAAACCATTCATAACATTAGACTTCACGCCATTGTGCAATAATTTCAGAGGTGGACAGTAAGAAAGCTCAAGGAATATAAGATCAAGGGTGCATCTATACCTTCATGTCTCTCTAAACAGCAATAGTTGCATTATTACATATATGCTTTTTCAAGTTAATTTACACGTTGAACTCTTAAGAATTTGAACCCCAAAAACTTTGCAACTCTCTAAAACTAAAAAAAACCAATTCTCTAAAACTGAAAATATACAGGCAATTAAGTCAAAACGTGCGAACGCGTAAGTAGCCATAAATCAGAGATTTAGGAAAGCAACAAGATTTATGAGCACACTTTACCTTTAGAGGCTCAGGACAGTCACGACCCAAGTAATCTTCCAGAGTCTCGTCATTTTCTTCAAGTTCATCCCCACCGGTAAACACTACAATCATGTAATCATTAACTTTGCTTCCAAAGAAGGTCTGCAAGCTATGAACAGCAGCTTCTTCTTCTAGCGTAAAGCGGTTTCTGACTGAAAGAACTACAAGAACTCCATGGATACCATCCTTGGCCATATTGATGCACTTAACAATTTCTTTGCCAATAAATTCAGGTTCAACAGAAGCATCAAACAATCCTGCCATTATCATAGTTCAGCATTATTGAATCATATTATAAATCAACAAAACAATTATCGAATAAGGACCAATTACTTAAAATTGCATACTTTCCTCTAAATTTCAATTTCTTTTTTACTTTTAATTTTATGAATTTGTTTTGTCCCTCTTGTTCGTGTTCCCACAATTTGCAAGCATATTACATCCCTATTTTTTCTTTTCTAAAGATCTCACTACAACAAAAATCACAAACTCCATTGAGAATGCACATCCAATATATTCATACCAGGAGTGTCAATCACATTGAGAATCTGGCCATCTCCCAATACAGTCCTCTGCATTTCACAAGTACTAGTAACACCAGTTGAGGAAGACCTTGACTTGAATGCCCTTCTCCAAAGGATACTATTGCCCGTCGCACTTTTGCCATTACCCGTACGTCCAATCAAAACCACAGTTTTAACCCCATTCGACGGTAATGTAAACTCCCAATCATCATCGATCAAGCTTCCACCCATCCTATAAAATCAAAGTTTCTATAAGAAAGATAAATTCCAATACATGTTTAACAATACACTCGCAACATACAATATTGATGTTATTATCTAGAGCGATTCATAACAATCGAAATTTAGTACATAAAATCTTTGTCTTTCACTTGGAGTCAGTACATGCTACGAAGCAAGAGCACTCTTAAGAATGTGACATATCCGTGTCGGACACTGATACTCCTCGGTCACTCTCGGATACATGTCCGATTCTGTTTTGTCCATATTCAATGATAAAATTTTAATTTCGATCACGTGTCCGACACTTTTTTGATGACATGTCTGACACTTCTTTAAACTGTGTCTACAACTAACAATAAACATGTATTAGCATGTGACTAACAAAACTTAAAAATTTGACTAATGAATATTTTATACTATGAGAGAACATATAATTACCAACACTATATATGTTAAATTGTACTCAAAAAATAATAATAATAACAACAGATGCATAAAAGCTTTAGACAAGAGGAATTAAGAAAATGAAGCAATCATTAACTTATATATGTTGGGCACATGTTGTCTACAAAAACAATTTACAATTCTTCGATTATTATATGATGTTTCAGTCTTAAAATTCACACTAGATAATTAGACATAACATTTATTTATCATAGAGTACTAAGTTTTTTATGAATAGTATATCATTATCACTATATTTGCAACAAATCATAAAATTTTATACATAACATATAATTATCTGTAGCATGTCCCCATAGCATGTCCTCAATGGTTTTGTGTCCCAATATTTTTAAAATGTCATGTTTGTGTGTACATATCCTTATCCGTGCTTCTTAGAATTCATATAAACAATTTAGGATTTGGAACATAAGAGCTTACATAGTTTTAAAAGCCTCTTTGGCAGGACAGAACAGAATCAAAGGTACACTTCTAAGCTGTACATTTTTAATGTTGAGACAAATGCCAAAATGGGTCATTAAAAAAAATTGTCACACTGTTTGGTCTTTGTCAAACAAGGGAGCTAGGATAGAGGAATTGTGTACGGAGCACAAACTTAACCTTAGAAATTATTTGTACAAAGTAACTGCCATCATACACAACCTCACAGTTACAAAGTTCTGTTGTTACCCATACACATTTACGAACCTTTAAGTGAAAAAATTCTTCTGCTCTTTGTTACTTATTCACAAAAAGATATACAATGGTATGTAACCATACATAAAGCTAAACAAGCTTATTCATACTAGTGGCAATTCACTTCTGCCTTTGATATATGGATAGCAGTGACAGAATATCGATTGACTTTTTTGGCCTAACTTCTCTAACATGCTCCTTGAGTTCCCTATTCAGCATTTTGTGCTTCCCATGTGTTTGCAATTTGTTGTTATTACCCACTATTTCACCTTTTTCTTCCTGTAAATATGCATTTTAGCAATTATTTTTAAGAAAATCAAAAACATCTCCGTATTTCTGTTTTAATTTGAAACTACAGAATTTCTAAGAGTGCAACAAACTTACAACCAAACCTACAATATAGAATTTATAAATAAAAAAAAAGCGTTTGATGCGTATCGGTAGCTCTTTTCTTTTTGCTTTTTCTGGTCTTAGGAATTTTTTTTAAGAAAATAAACTCGGATTAATGGAAAATTACTGAAACAAAAGGCTCGCATCCAAAGAGACCGTACGGTTACAGCACAATCAAATCGATATACCTGAATCATTATGACCCTGATTACTTGCAATTTCGGAATTATTATTTACCAAGTCAAGAAGAAAGATTATATCAACGATGGTTAATCATATCAAAAAGATTATATCAAAGATGGTTAACTGACCTGAGCCTGACTGAGATAATCTCTTTGCAATTTTGTGCTGCAGTTCAAAGTAAAGAAGATGACGAATGGGGAGGAGGAAAGTCACCAGCATAAGCCAAAAGGTAAAGCGAGAGACGTACGTTTGGCATGGTCCGTGTATACTACAATATCTGTGAAAACTGTACACGAAGAAATTTATCCATATCTCCTGCCAACCAATTTGAAGTTTGTTAGCTTAAAATAAAAAGACGTGGATTAATTATTTTTCAGATTTTTCAGATTTAGGTTCCGTAACATTGTTCTTCTATATTTACCTGCCTCTTTGACTAGTAATTTGGAAAAGCACATAATTGAAATGAAACTAAAAAATTAAAACTCAAATATATATCACCTTTTAGATGAGTGGGTTTCACTGAATAAATTAATAGAACTTACTCATTTAAAAGATGATATAATTGGATTATAATTTTTTAGATTTTATTTGAGTTTTATAATACTGCTCTAGCTATTTTATATTTGAAGAGTCAAATAATTCTTTGACTCTTTGTAAAAATGGCTCTTTAAAATAAAAAATATAATATTTTAATATATTTTGAATAATTTATTTTAAAGAGTATTCTTAGAGATGCTCTTACAACTTAATCACTTATTATCATCTATAACTTTTTCATCTTTGTTATTAACTAGAGATAACTCGTGTCTTCAACTACGATGCGATGTGAATGATTTTGAGATAAATATTGGTATCCATTAAATGAATCTATTTGACAACGTCAGATACACTTATTGAAATCTGTCATATTTTATATTATAAATCTTATCACAACCTTTATATTTGTCTCTCCTTCCATATCTAGCCATTGCCCACAAACAAAAAAATTTTAAATAATTGCTCAAATTCAAAAATAATGATTTAAAAATATTCATACTAATTCTTCTTTTAAAATAGCTCGAATATTGTCGATCATATCTTCTATATTAATGAAACTGTTATAAAAATATATAAAAACTTCTCAAATCAACATCATATATGCAAATGCCTTTGAGAAAAACAAACAAACACTAATATAACCTATTAAAATTTACAATCGTTAAGTAATAAATAAAATATTGCTCATTTATAAGACTTACGAATTTATCATCTCTACTACTAATCAATCCAATAACACAACATAATTATAAATTCAACCACAATATTTCTAATCTACCCTACCCCATGTAATAAATATCTCAAGCAAAAAATAATACTAATAATAACATAACACAATTAAATTCACAATATTTAAGCCATAAATAAAATCAACTAAATCTTACTCATTTATAAAACTCATAAATTTATCACCACTACCCCATTCAATCTCAAATGACGCAATATAATTATAAATTTAATCACCAAATGTCAAATATACATGAAAACACACTCACGCACATTTCTTTTTTAGTTACCAGCAGACCATCCTAACTAATAATTTATTTTATTAGAAATACAATAATTTAAGTTTTTAAGATAAAATAATAATAAATTAATATTTAATTAAAAACACAAGATAAAAATCATGGGCAATTGGACATTCCCTAAGTTTTTGCAATATTATACGGACACCACTTGTAAAGAACATCGACCACCGCTGCCATTCCCAAGAGGGGAATAGGTCACCTGGACCAAACCTCTATAAATCTTTGTGTTGACCCTTATTTGCTGTTTTGCCATTGATCACCTTATTTATTGCTCATTAATTGCACCTTTACACATTCTCAACTGATGATCTTGTACAATACCAATTTGTGCATCATCAATTATGATTTAAAATAACTCAACCTATGTATTAAAAAAAATTCTGCTTTGCATAGAGAGACCCTTGTATTTAAATATAATATAAAGATTACATTTCTTCTAATCTTATAGTTATAGTTATTAGATATGATACCTTATTGGTGGTCGTTAATAAAATTAAGTAGTATTATGTTTGACGGTGTACAATTAATTTTGTGACAAGTTGCGTTTAGTATATACTCCTCGAGGACTCCCCTCATGGGTGCAGCTCGTCTACCGTAAGTAATCAACCGCACCATATGCAATTTAATGGAACGACGCCGTTTTACGACATTTTTTCTTCTTTTTTTTTTTTGGAAAATTATAGAGCAAAGTGATGTCGTTTCCAATACACCAAACCAGCCCCACCTTTGTTCAAAAAAACCCCCAAATTTAACCAAAACCCTAAACAAGAAGAGAGGCTCTACAACCCCAACAGGAAGATCACAAACTCCAACCTCAACATCAGGTATTTTTCATGGGTTCTTCGATTGTTCAGTTTGTGTGTGTGTGTGTGTTCGTTTATATATATATATATATATATATATATATATATATATATTGATCGAAGTTCTGTTCGTATGGCTTGATCGAAGTTTTGTTCGTATGGCAAGTTTGATTGTGATGCGTTCCGTGACTTTGTACTGGAATTGATGTAGTTGAGCCTTGTGGTTGAATCATCAATTAAAATGTTGTGGTTTTGATTGATAGTAATTTAAGAATGAGCGGACACATATACATGATAAAGTTTGGGTTTTTATCGATATCATCTGGATGAAATGTCTCAGTAATTCCTAGATAATATGTGATTATTGCTGATTTTTTACTTTTATTTAAGTGGTTGTCATAATTAATTTTATCATAAAATGAGTTCTTGGTTACTTGGTACCTTAAAAACCTTTTTGAATAATTGTGTCAAAATTGTTTGGAGAAGATAGTCGGTTAGCAAGCTAATTCCTTGTAATAACATATGCTTGGCCAGTGTCAAGTGAAATCAAGTCCTATTTCTTTTTCAGAAAATCCAGAATACAAAAGGATTATGAGACATATTTTGCAGGAAACGTGTCTTTGATATCTAGACATGGTTTGTTAGACAGAAGTACTAGAATTTTATACTGTCTTGCTTTCAAAATTTACTACTTCTAGTAAGTGTTACCCATTTCGTGAAAACTTTATGAATTAGAATTTCTCTGTAGGCAATTTTTATATGCTTCAGATTTTATATATAGGATTCAAACTATATATTTTTTATGTTTGGAATTTTTAAAATTACTTGAGGTGGTATGTGAAATGGAATGGGCTTGTCTCAAGTTCTTTTGGAGTTTGGAGAACAAATATAATCCAATCAACTTTGTGAATTTGGTTGTATGCCCTGTATT